TTTTTCATTAACAATTGTAATAATACTAATAGATTCAATTTTTTTTTAATTTTAATAATTATAATTCATTTAACACTTTTTTTTAATAATACAATTTTAATAATTATAATAAATTCATTTAACATTTAACAATTTATACATAAATTTCATTGCTGTAAAAATATTTTCAAATCTAAATATAAGTAAAACTAAAAGTTAAATTTTAAAACTTTTAATAAAAAAAAAAACATTTTAATTTAAACTTTCATTTCCTCCTTCATTCTTCTGTTTAGTTCTTTTTTAAAATAAAAAAAAAAATAGTACCAAAGATAAACATTCTTCGTTATATTTCACTCTCTATCAATGCAAATCTATCGTTGACATTTTGCTAACATTACTTTAGTCATTTCACAAACGAAAGTATTTACTTTGATAAGAAAATTACATCATATAACATTTGCTTTCTTTTTAATATTAAATAATTTTAGTAAATAAGTAAGTAAGTAAGAAGTAAGTAAGTAATGAATTTCAGGAATTCTATATGAGTACCATAGTTGTTCCAGAAATTTTTCAAAATTGTTCATCTGAATATCGTATCAAAGATATTAAATATATTCAATGTCATATACCTATGAATGTAAATCCATGTAAATTATTAAAGGTTAGCTATTTTCTTTTTTTTTTTTATAATCTTTAAAATAATTAATATAAAAAAAAACTTTTTTGAAATAGAATTATTTACCATTTTTATTTTTTATTTTCTTCTAAAAAGTTTATTCTGTTTTTAAATTGTTTTTTTTTTTTCTTTCAAGACATTTCCTCGAATTATCTCTGATATATTTTAATGTTTTATTAGTTTTAACAAATTAATAATTTCAAATAATAAATAAATTTGTTTTAGTCTTCAGGATTTCAGTTCATAAATTTATTTTAGTCTTCAGGATTTCAGTTCATAAATTTATTTTAGTCTTCAGGATTTCAGTTCATAAATTTATTTTAGTCTTCAGGATTTCAGTTCATAAATTTATTTTAGTCTTCAGGATTTCAGTTCATAAATTTATTTTAGTCTTCAGGATTTCAGTTCATAAATTTATTTTAGTCTTCAGGATTTCAGTTCATAAATTTATTTTAGTCTTCAGGATTTCAGTTCATAAATTTATTTTAGTCTTCAGGATTTCAGTTCATAAATTTATTTTAGTCTTCAGGATTTCAATTTTCCAGTTCATAATACAATTATTTCCTGTTTCTTTTCAGGAATTACATGAAGCCAAAGATATTCGAAAGTATCTTTTTGCTACAATTCCACTTATACTCGCAACAATTGCTATTTTGATAAATATTATTTATGGTATATTGATAATAGAGTTATGGCGAAGGAAAAAACTTGGGTAATTTCCTTTTTTTTTTTTTTTTGCATTATATTTTTTGAGAATATAAAAGCCAAATAAAAATGTGTTGGGGATTTTTACAATAGAAATTTGTAAGAATGATAAAGTTAGACTAATTTATAAATCGATAGAATAATTAGACTAATTTGTAAACGGGATAATTAGACCAAGTTATAAACCGATACAAGAATTAGACTAAACTGTGAACCGATAGAATAATTAGACTAATTTGTAAACGGGATAATTAGACCAAGTTATAAACCGATACAAGAATTAGACTAAACTGTGAACCGATAGGATAATTAGACTAATTTGTGAACCGGTAAGATAATTAGACCAAGTTATAAACCGGTAGGATAATTAGACCAAGTTATAAATCGGTAGATTAATTAGACGATTTGTAAGCTGGTAAGATAATTAGACTAAATTTATAAACCGGTAGGATAATTAGACCAAGTTATAAATCGGTAGGATAATTAGACCAAGTTATAAACCGGTAGGATAATTAGACCAAGTTATAAACCGGTAGGGTAATTAGACCAAGTTATAAATCGGTGAGATAATTAGACGATTTGTAAGCCGGTAGGAAAATTAGACCAAGTCATAAATCGGTAGGATAATAAGACCAAGTTATAAACGAGTAGAATAATTAGACTAATTTATAAACCGGTAGGTTAATTAAACCAAGTTATAAACCGGTAGAATAATTCGACTAATTTATAAACCGGTAGGTTAATTAAACCAAGTTATAAACCGGTAGAATAATTCGACTAATTTGTAAAAATCATAGAAAAGAGAAAATAAAAAAAAAAAAATGAAGACGAAATATGCGGAAATTTTAGTATGTAATTATATCTTTTAGTATGATAAAAATAATTATTTTTTTTCTCATTTTATCTACTACATTAAATTTTAATCGATTTAAAATTTTAAAATTTCGATTGAAATCTTTTTTGTTTTTTTTTCAGTTCATTGTGTCGATATAGCTTTCTGATATGTAGAACGATAAGCAGTATTCTTGCACTGATTCTTTTATATATTGTTTTAATCGCATGGAAATTAGAAATATTTCGATATGCATCTGCTGCTGCATTCATTTTGATTGGATCAGTATCATTCTTAACATTAGCTGGTAATTTTTAAATTTTTTTTTTTTTTAAATTTCAGTTTTTCATGTTTTTTCTTTTTTTTTTAAATTTCAGTTTTTCATGTTTTTTCTCTTTTTTTTTTAAATTTCAATTTTTCATGTTTTTTTCTTTTTTTTTTTTAAATTTCAGTTTTTCACGTTTTTCTCTTTTTTTTAAATTTCAGTTTTTCATGTTTTTTCTCTTTTTTTTTAAATTTCAGTTTTTCATGTCTTTTTTCTTTTTTTTTTAAATTTCAGTTTTTCATGTTTTTTTCTTTTTTTAAATTTCAGTTTTTCATGTTTTTTTTTTAAATTTCAATTTTTCATGTTTTTTTCTTTTTTTTTAAATTTCAGTTTTTCATGTTTTTTCTTTTTTTTAAATTTCAGTTTTTCATGTTTTTTTCTTTTTTAGTGTGCAAAATTTGATTAAATATTATAGCATATGAAAAAAAACTTTTCACGTTTTTTTTTTTTTTACTTTCTATCAATTTTTTGACTTTATTTTTAGCTAACTTTAAATCAATCACTTGTCTCACTTTTTTTCTTTCTCTACTTTAAATGATTAAAAATTTCAAATTTCAAGTTTCTATTGAAATATAAGATTATTTTTTTTTACAGGTACTTATGTTGCAATGACAGCATTACTTTATTTAGCAATTGTTCATCCATTAAAATATTTGTATTTGGTTAATGTTACACGATGTTTTATTGTTATTGCAATTCTATGGCTTATTTCCATTGCTTTTTCGGTAATATTTACTAAAATAAAAATCTTTTTTTTTTCGGAATTTTTAATTAATATTTGTAAAAAATTTTTAATATTAACCTTTTGTTTCAACTTTTAAAAATGTTGGATAGAAAAATTTTAATGTTTTAAAAAATGCTTAAATACATTTCGAATCATTGTAAAAATTTCTAAAATTCATAAATCAATCATATTTAGTAAAAATATATGGAAAATTGCATTCAATAAAAAGAGTTTAAAAAATATTTAAATAATTTTTAAAAAAAAAAAACAAAAATTATTTATTAATTTTAACCGATTTAATGAGTGAAAAATTTTTAATAAATATTTTAGAAAATTTATATTTAAATTTAGTTTTTTCTTGGTTTTTATGGTGCTACATTGTTTTATCCACAAACAGCGCCAATTTATTGCTCATTTGATCGATGTCAACAGCCTATTGCTATATTTATTGTTTTTATGCTTTGTGCTTTTTTTATTATTGTCATTGCATTTTATCTAATTATACTTTATTTTATTCACAATCGTGATCGAACTGATCAATTGGTCAAATTTTTTCAATTATTTTCATTTATTTATTTGAGTTTTAAAATTATTAATTTACAAAAAAAATGAGTTAGCTTATGGTTAGATTAAATGTAAACGAAGCAAGAAAAGCAAAAATCAATCATTTATAGATAAAGGAAATTAAAATATAAATATCTGATATTATCAATATATTTTATCCTCATTAATTTGATTAATACTGATAAGAGCAAATCAATCATTTATAGATAAAGGAAATTAAAATATAAATATCTGATATTATCAATATATTTCATCCTCACTAATTTGATTAATACTGATAAGAGCAAATTTTTATTTATCATTTTTTTTTCCTTTGCAAATTTTTAAATGATAATTTACAGTTCAGTTATTGAAATGAAGAAAATTTTCACAGAATATTGATTGTTTGTTAAATAGCTGAGTGAAAAATGAGAAAAGAAAGAATTTTTATCTTTTATAGATTATACAGAATAAAATAGTTAATTTTATTTTATGCAAAATCTAATAGAGAATTGAAATTGGAAATAGAAATATATGAAAAAATAGGAAATAAAAAAACGTATATGTTTAATCCGGAAGTATCCGTAAAAATTTCTGAAAATTTCAGGAAACTGATATAACAATGAGAAATAATGTACGAATAATGAATAGATTAGCATTAAATATGGTGACATTTACTATTGGTTCATTACCAATTCTTATTGTTGCAGCAATTGCAACAGCTAATTTAAAAATCTAACTATTTTAGGTAAACTTATATCTTATCAATTTTTTTTTTTGTTTTTCATTCATACCGAGTATAATTTTTTTCGGAAAAATAACGGAAATAACATTCATACCGATTTTTTCGAAAAAATAACAGAAATAACATTCATATCAATTTTTTGGAAAAATAACGGAAATAACATTCATATCAATTTTTTCGGAAAAATAACGGAAATAACATTCATATCAGTTTTTCGGAAAAATAACGGAAATAAGATTCATACCGATTTTTCGGAAATTTCGGAAATGTATTACTTAAAATTCGAATTAAATAAACATTGTTTCTACAATTAGATGATGAACAAATCTTTTAACAATAAATTATTCAATAAGGATAATTTTACAAGCAAACTATGCGCTACTATTGTAATTCGATTGGATGATAGAATTTTAAAATTCATTTTAATTTATTTAATACAATTATTATTTATATATTTGATTAAAACTTAAAATGTATGTATTTACACTTACTTACTTACTTACAGGTTTGGGTGATAAATCATCGTGTAAAACATTCCTTCATGGAAGACTCTTCTTACAAGTGGAAATTTTAGCTTGTACGGCGGCAATTGTTTGGGTATTAGCAATGATCTTTGATCCAATTATTAATTTTTTCGCTGACCCAAATTTCATCGATTCAATTCGGTCATGGTTTTCATGTATTAAATTTCAAATTCCACCACTACAGCTATTATTTTTGCATAAATCAAACAGTAACAGTTGAACAAAGTGGACATTTCGTCTTATCAAATTAATCACTATCATCGTTTATTTGTTATCAGTAACATTAACAGTTGAACAAAGTGGACATTTCGTCTTATCAAATTAATCACTATCATCGTTTATTTGTTATTAGTAACATTAACAGTTGAACAAAATGGACATTTCGTCTTATCAAATTAATCACTATCATCGTTTATTTGTTATTAGTAACATTAACAGTTGAACAAAGTGGACATTTCGTCTTATCAAATTAATCACTATCATCGTTTATTTGTTATCAGTAACATTAACAGTTGAACAAAGTGGACATTTCGTCTTATCAAATTAATCACTATCATCGTTTATTTGTTATTAGTAACATTAACAGTTGAACAAAATGGACATTTCGTCTTATCAAATTAATCACTATCATCGTTTATTTGTTATCAGTAACATTAACAGTTGAACAAAATGGACATTTCGTCTTATCAAATTAATCACTATCATCGTTTATTTGTTATCAGTAACATTAACAGTTGAACAAAGTGGACATTTCGTCTTATCAAATTAATCACTATCATCGTTTATTTGTTATCAGTAACATTAACAGTTGAACAAAGTGGACATTTCGTCTTATCAAATTAATCACTATCATCGTTTATTTGTTATCAGTAACATTAACAGTTGAACAAAATGGACATTTCGTCTTATCAAATTAATCACTATCATCGTTTATTTGTTATCAGTAACATTAACAGTTGAACAAAGTGGACATTTCGTCTTATCAAATTAATCACTATCATCGTTTATTTGTTATCAGTAACATTAACAGTTGAACAAAATGGACATTTCGTCTTATCAAATTAATCACTATCATCGTTTATTTGTTATTAGTAACATTAACAGTTGAACAAAATGGACATTTCGTCTTATCAAATTAATCACTATCATCGTTTATTTGTTATCAGTAACATTAACAGTTGAACAAAATGGACATTTCGTCTTATCAAATTAATCACTATCATCGTTTATTTGTTATTAGTAACATTAACAGTTGAACAAAGTGGACATTTCGTCTTATCAAATTAATCACTATCATCGTTTATTTGTTATCAGTAACATTAACAGTTGAACAAAATGGACATTTCGTCTTATCAAATTAATCACTATCATCGTTTATTTGTTATTAGTAACATTAACAGTTGAACAAAATGGACATTTCGTCTTATCAAATTAATCACTATCATCGTTTATTTGTTATCAGTAACATTAACAGTTGAACAAAATGGACATTTCGTCTTATCAAATTAATCACTATCATCGTTTATTTGTTATCAGTAACATTAACAGTTGAACAAAGTGGACATTTCGTCTTATCAAATTAATCACTATCATCGTTTATTTGTTATCAGTAACATTAACAGTTGAACAAAGTGGACATTTCGTCTTATCAAATTAATCACTATCATCGTTTATTTGTTATCAGTAACATTAACAGTTGAACAAAATGGACATTTCGTCTTATCAAATTAATCACTATCATCGTTTATTTGTTATCAGTAACATTAACAGTTGAACAAAGTGGACATTTCGTCTTATCAAATTAATCACTATCATCGTTTATTTGTTATCAGTAACATTAACAGTTGAACAAAATGGACATTTCGTCTTATCAAATTAATCACTATCATCGTTTATTTGTTATCAGTAACATTAACAGTTGAACAAAGTGGACATTTCGTCTTATCAAATTAATCACTATCATCGTTTATTTGTTATCAGTAACATTAACAGTTGAACAAAGTGGACATTTCGTCTTATCAAATTAATCACTATCATCGTTTATTTGTTATCAGTAACATTAACAGTTGAACAAAATGGACATTTCGTCTTATCAAATTAATCACTATCATCGTTTATTTGTTATCAGTAACATTAACAGTTGAACAAAGTGGACATTTCGTCTTATCAAATTAATCACTATCATCGTTTATTTGTTATCAGTAACATTAACAGTTGAACAAAATGGACATTTCGTCTTATCAAATTAATCACTATCATCGTTTATTTGTTATCAGTAACATTAACAGTTGAACAAAGTGGACATTTCGTCTTATCAAATTAATCACTATCATCGTTTATTTGTTATCAGTAACATTAACAGTTGAACAAAGTGGACATTTCGTCTTATCAAATTAATCACTATCATCGTTTATTTGTTATCAGTAACATTAACAGTTGAACAAAGTGGACATTTCGTCTTATCAAATTAATCACTATCATCGTTTATTTGTTATCAGTAACATTAACAGTTGAACAAAGTGGGCATTTCGTCTTATCAAATTAATCACTATCATCGTTTATTTGTTATCAGTAACATTAACAGTTGAACAAAGTGGACATTTCGTCTTATCAAATTAATCACTATCATCGTTTATTTGTTATCAGTAACATTAACAGTTGAACAAAGTGGACATTTCGTCTTATCAAATTAATCACTATCATCGTTTATTTGTTATCAGTAACAGTAACAGTTGAACAAAATGGACATTTCGTCTTATCAAATTAATCACTATCATCGTTTATTTGTTATCAGTAACATTAACAGTTGAACAAAGTGGACATTTCGTCTTATCAAATTAATCACTATCATCGTTTATTTGTTATCAGTAACATTAACAGTTGAACAAAGTGGACATTTCGTCTTATCAAATTAATCACTATCATCGTTTATTTGTTATCAGTAACATTAACAGTTGAACAAAGTGGACATTTCGTCTTATCAAATTAATCACTATCATCGTTTATTTGTTATCAGTAACATTAACAGTTGAACAAAGTGGACATTTCGTCTTATCAAATTAATCACTATCATCGTTTATTTGTTATCAGTAACATTAACAGTTGAACAAAGTGGACATTTCGTCTTATCAAATTAATCACTATCATCGTTTATTTGTTATCAGTAACATTAACAGTTGAACAAAGTGGACATTTCGTCTTATCAAATTAATCACTATCATCGTTTATTTGTTATCAGTAACATTAACAGTTGAACAAAGTGGACATTTCGTCTTATCAAATTAATCACTATCATCGTTTATTTGTTATCAGTAATATTAACAGTTGAACAAAGTGGGCATTTCGTCTTATCAAATTAATCACTATCATCGTTTATTTGTTATCAGTAACATTAACAGTTGAACAAAGTGGGCATTTCGTCTTATCAAATTAATCACTATCATCGTTTATTTGTTATCAGTAACATTAACAGTTGAACAAAGTGGACATTTCGTCTTATCAAATTAATCACTATCATCGTTTATTTGTTATCAGTAACATTAACAGTTGAACAAAGTGGGCATTTCGTCTTATCAAATTAATCACTATCATCGTTTATTTGTTATCAGTAACATTAACAGTTGAACAAAGTGGACATTTCGTCTTATCAAATTAATCACTATCATCGTTTATTTGTTATCAGTAACATTAACAGTTGAACAAAGTGGACATTTCGTCTTATCAAATTAATCACTATCATCGTTTATTTGTTATTAGTAACATTAACAGTTGAACAAAATGGACATTTCGTCTTATCAAATTAATCACTATCATCGTTTATTTGTTATCAGTAACATTAACAGTTGAACAAAATGGACATTTCGTCTTATCAAATTAATCACTATCATTGTTTATTTGTTACCAGTGCAATAATAGTAATCAAAATTTTGATTACTTGTTAATATTCAAATTATGTATGTAACTTATTAGTCATCGATTTGTTGTTTAATAATTCAAATTTGAAAAATTAATTTTGTTTTCTTTTTCTTTTTCAAAAAATTTGACCTTTACAATTTTATAAAGTTTGTATTTTATTACATAATATAATTTTTTCTTAATGATCAAAATTATTGCTGTTTAAATGTAGTTATTTTAATTTTATATTCGTAAATGAAATTATTTTGTTGAAAAATGCTTTAATTCTTGTTTTACTATTTTTTTAAAATTAGAATTATTTATATTTTTATTTTGCAGCTGAATAAATTGCAATAATTTTGTTTGATTAGCATACAATTTAACAAATTCTATGGGAATTTTACTCGTTGAGAGATTCTCTCTCTCCCTCTCTCTCTCTCTCTTCTACCTGTTTATATATTATTAATAATATCAATTATTGATGATTTATATATGTAATCACCATTTACTCGTTATGATCATACTGTTAAAAATAATTAAAGAATTATCAATAATTCTTTCTCTCTCCCTCTCCCTCCCCTCTCTCTTTTTCTCTTCTACCTGTTTATATATTATTATTAATAATACCAATTACTGATGATACATGTATATAATCACAATTTATTCGTTATGATCATACTGTTAAAAATAATTGAAAGAATTATCAATACTTCTCTCTCTCTCCCTCCCTCTTCTCCTCTCTCCCTCTCTCTTCTCTCTCTCTCTCTCTTCTACCTGTTTATATATTATTAATAACATCAATTATTGATGAATCATGTATATAATCACAATTTTCCAATTCATATAAGCACAATATAACGATAAATTACAATGATAGACTTGGAATATCACAAATAAATTAAAAATGTAACAATTTGGAAAGAATAAATCAATGATTCATTGATAAAATTGATGAATCATTTTATGATAATATCATTCTAATACATATCATTTTCTGTTCATTCTTGTTTTAATTAAAAAATTTTATTCTTTCATTTTTAGATTTTATTTTTTTACTCCCTTAAAATGATCTGTAATTTATAATTTTTTATATGGATTGATTAAAATTTAACTAAAACTAATAATTAATTTCAATTTAAGCAACGTAAAAGATTGAAAATATTTTTTTAATGCTAATGGAAATATAAGATTAAAGATAAAAGATACATACAAAATGTATAAGTGATATCAAAAATTGTTATTTATCAAATTTTTAAAAAAAAATAAAATAAAGGAAAAAAAGAGGAAAACATGGAGAAGTAGCAATTTAGTATGTGACAAAGATTTTTGAAAATTAGAAATTTTATTATTTTCTTATTTTCAAAAAAAGAAAAATGAAATTAATAAATAAAATCAAATAGATGTGCTAAAGAAGATATAATGACTAAATTGTTAATAAATTAATTAATGGAAAAAGAATTATTAAATTTATTTAAAAAGTACAAAGATTATTGTAAACTGAACTTGAAAAAAATATTTTTGAAGAAGAAATTGAAAAAAGAAAAATTTGTCAAAATAGTTTTACTGATTGATTTTTTGAACATATCAACCTAGAAATGCTTCATTAATTTTCTTCATTCCTTTTTCTTATCAAATACATTCTTCCCTTCTTCTCCTTCTTATCACTTATCAGTGCACAATTTTATTTATTTACAAAATGATAAGATGAGAAATGCTGTATGCTGTTAATAAATTTATATTTGTAAGGTTTATGTGACTATTTATTATTGTTTATTACTTGATAAAATTTATTCTTACCTAACTTATTTAGAAAGTAATTATTAATTACTAATTAATTTAAACGGATTGTTATTCATATTGTTTTAAACCTGTTTGATAAATTGTAAATAACAACATTTTTCCTTTCACATCTTCAATTCAATTTAAATTTACTAAATTTCAATGCAATAATTACTAGCCATTTTAAAAGAAATACATTTTATAAATAAGTTAGAAAAAATTTGTATGTTTTATCTTTTTTTAAAATTAATAAAAATCAAAATTTGAAAAGAAAAAACGATAGCGAACTATTGTTAATTATATTAGGAAGAATTGACGGAAAGAATCAAACAAATTGATAAGAATGATAAAGTTTAAGTAAATAATATTCTATCATTATCAGCTTTTATGGTAAGAGGATAGAAACTTATATTATTTATTTTATATTTTAAAAAATAAAAATTTCCTTTCTCTTTTTTGTTTATCGTTTTTATGATAGTTTAAAAATAAAATGTAAAATTATTATAATAACATAAAACAGTTATTGATTAAGAAATAATTAGCATATTTGAATTATATTAAAATAATTTAGAGTTGTTGACAAAGTGATAAAGATATATTATCATAATAAGCTTATTGTTTTTATTTGCTTATTTATTTGTTTATTCACTTCGTCATGCTTTCTTAAAACTATCAAAAATTTTTGAAAGAAATAATATTCTCCTCGGGGTTGTCCACTTCGTATTCGTTAGGTGAGTGCAGTAAAGTGCCGTCGACATCGGTTTCTCCAGCTATTGCTTTAGCTTCAACGGTTGATCATGCACCGATGGATTTCCTTTCTAGGCCAACAAAAACATGGACTGTAAGTAACTTTTTTTTTTTTTTTTTTTATGACTGGTAAATAACGAATTTGATTTATATTGAATTTATATTGCTGTGTATTTGAGTTGAGTTTGTTAGATAAGCGTTATTTGTGGTGCAATTTCTTCTGTAGCTAATTTCTTAATCATTACTCTTACTTGCTATTTCCTAAAAGTTAGAGTAGCTAAAAGACTAGAAGGAAGACAATATCTTCGATCCTTTGTTTTATCGTTATTATGCACATTTTTATATTGCTAACATGAAATCTTATTTATGACATACATTATAAAAGATTAAGTTTGAGATTGATTGGTATGTTTTGAAATTTAATAAGTAGCAATTTTCCTCTTATTTTAGTGTGATGAAGTGGCAAGCTGGGTATCATCGGTAACCGGTAATGAGGATTGTGCGAATACTTTTCGTAATCAGGATATAGACGGCCAGTCTCTGTTGTTACTGCCAGATAATGCTCATAATAATTTGGTAACGCTACTGGGATTGAAACTTGGCCCAGTAGTGAAAATTTTGAATGCACTCAAAGAATTATCAAGCAAAAGTATCAATGCCACATAATTGTTTTATGCATAAAAGTTTTAAAAATTGAAAATGATTCATTTAAAAATCTTAAAAAATTTACATTTCATTCCAAAACATTTTGCTATTACTAATCTTATTTTGGAAGCTTTATTGAAAAGTGCTGATTGTATAGAATTGATGATTTTTTACCATTAGCTATTTCATTTATCAGTTATTCACGATGTTTATTTGTTTATCTATCAGCTCTTTCTATTTCTTTATCGCATTAATTTTGTCGTAATGAATTGCGAATACAAAATTTGCATTATTATATGGTTGTTGGTTAATTGAACTTTTTTTTTTTGATCTTTTGTTCTTCCTTCAGGAATTTTTCAGTTATAATTGTCTCTCCTAAAAGACTTTTTTTATATTGAAATTCCAGAAGACGAAGAGAAATCGAGAGCGAAATTACGTTTTCCTTTTTTTTTTCACATCTCGATTTATTGCTATTTATTCTTTATTGATTTCCTTGAATTGTATCCAAGATTCATTTGAACATTTATCATGACCAATGTATATGCATTTCATTGTAGCATATGTACCTCATTAGCATAAAGTTCTATTATAGCTAATGAATTTTGAGCTTTGGTTTAGGACAAAAGTTAAATTTTGTGAACTTAAAAAGTGAAAGCATTCCTAACAAGCATCTGTTCTGCTTCACATAATGTGCTTTATTTTCAGCTTTATGAGAACTAGAATATAATTTTACTTCTCAGCATTAAAAGTCTCTTTCTTTTCTAACCTTTTAGAATTCCCTTATTTTACTACTGTTTCACTTTGGCATACTCTACTTTAAGATATTTTTATTTACTACCCTTTATTATGTCTACAATCTTTTAATATCCATGGTTAGTTTATTCATAGTACTGTTTCTTTTGATTTTGCATATTTTTAAATTTATGATTTTTCATTTGATTAAAATTGCTATTGTCAGTTATCAATGATAATACTTTTTAGAGAAAAAAATTGTATTTGTAAAAATTCAATTTTGTATTGCTCATAAAAAATTTTGAAATTTTTAAAATGTAGAAATACATTTAATTGTTTTGCTAACATTCTATGAAATACTAAAAAAGAAAAAAATGTCAAAGAAACAAAATACCAAAAATAATAAACATTAACAGAATGAAACTAGAAAAAATAAAAAGTGCAACAATTTTATGAGAATTGTAAATTAGTAACGATTGAAATTGTTTATTTTGATTTTATGTTTTTTTCTTTTGTTTTATACTTATGTCAAGTAAATCTGAGAAATTTTTTATTTCAACTTAGAAATGTTGGATAATCTTTAATATTTTTCAATTAAATTATAAATGCAAATTAATATCTTAGCTAGTTCCTGATGTATTTGATTTTTCAATTGAGAATTTCTAGGATTTTAAAAAGAGAAAACAATGAGCTACAAAATTTCCATCATCAGATGCTTGTAAATGTTATTTTATGGTATATTTGATGGTATTTTATGAGTTTATCTATTAACTTTAAAAAGTTAGGATTTGATAAATGATAATGATTGATAGGAATTTGCTGTATAAAATTTTTTATAAAAATAATAACATCTATGAATTCTATTTTTGAATTATCTTGATTTCATCGAAGTCTAATGAAATCTAAATAATCATATCAATTGCTTTTTATTAAACTTCAAAATTACATTAGCAACATAATATTTAAACATATTTCTTCCTTATTAAATAAAAAATCTTTTAAATACCATTTAATGATATGATAACACATCGTTATCATTATCAGATTATTGAGTGAAATAATTTTGTTGCTTTGAGAATGTTTAATAATTTTTGAGATTAGTCTAATTTTGATTTGTCCCTTATCATTTACATGTATGCCATTTAATAGTTCATTCTATATTTGAAATCAAGAGTCAATTGTGGTTTTAAATTAAATCTAAAAAATTTAATATACTAAAAATACATACAAAGGTAGACATATGAAATGAAAGAAAAAAGTGGAATTATAAAATTTATGAAAAAAAAAAATTTCTATCTTCAATTTTCTATTAAAATTTAAAAAAAAAAAGGAAATTTAAGTTAACAAATAAAAACGATCTGTTTTTGATTACAGTAGCAAAGTAACATAAAGATCTAAAAATTTGCAACTTTTTTTTTTTTTTTTTGATTTCAATTCTATCATTAACAAATTTTATTGATTGATAAGTAAATTGATGGATTATTATTCTTGAATTAATTCAAATTAATTTTTGATGAAAGATTTTACACAAATATGAAATTTGGTTTTTAAATTTTTCTCTTTTTTTTTTTTTTCATAATTTTTATCATTTTTTTTAATTTTAATAGAAAAGAGAATAATAGCTTCTAGAATTAAAGCAAAATTTTTGTCAAATCTCTCACAAATGGAAATCATTCATTTTTTTTTTATTGGTTGTCACCAACACAATGAATGACAATTTTAATTTCACTTCCTGTTTGTCGCAAAAAATTTTGCTCTCTTTTCTTGTTATTTCTTTTTTTTACCTAAAATATTATTGCATTGATTAATTCAAATCTAATTTGCGTAGTACACAAGTAATTGTAATTTTAATTTGAAATTGAAATTTTTATAATGAAATCATAATTTGATATTGGACAAAATGTCTTTTCTAATTGAAATATCAGTTTAAGTAATAATTGAAATTTATTTAGTATTAAGCTTACTTTTGGTGGTGAATTAAAATGATTAAAAAAATACATAACAGAATTTTTTTTTTTTTAAAAACGCCCTTTAATTAGTGTTTCTACAAATCTTATTATTTTACTATAATCAAAAGAGGTAACATAATTCTTTTGCTACTAATTAACCGATCATATCAATTCGATTTAATTAATTAACTTAATCCATTAATTCATTTTATCGTTTAATTTATATTTATCTTCATTTTTGCAAATTTTCATATATTATTTCACACTTACTGCATATTATTTTACTGTTCTTTTATCATTATTAACAGATTTAACACAATTAACATTTTCCGGTTTATCCTAAATATTTAAAATTATATTCTATATTTAGTACAATTAACATTTTCCGGTTTATCCTAAATATTTAAAATTATATTCTATATTTAGCATTACCAATCAATCATTTATACAATGAAAACAATTCTATAAATGAAAAAATCCTAAAATTATTTTTACTCCTTAAAATTAATTAAAAATTTTAAATTTTGTTATGGAAAACAAAAACATGAATTACCGCTTACAATCGATGGTTGTTTCATCGATATTATAATCATCTATGTTGTAGAAGTAAAAAAAAAAAAAAAGATGAAAAAGATATGAGTAAACAAATTTTAAAATTGAAAACAGTGAGTCATTCTCTTTAAACAATGACTCATAGAAAAACAATGAGTCATCAACCCTCTTTTATTATTAAATTCTGAATTTTGTATTTTACAAACATGAAATCTGATCCAAATGAAAATTTATAAGCAAAGTAAGGATTAGAAAAATTGAAATTTTGGATGAATTGAAATTTTAACTTTGATTAATTTAATGATAAACAGCAATTGAGATGATAACTGTATACCAGTGGAAAAGTTTTTATCATTCGTCTCCTATGGAATTAATGTTTAACCGAATCCGGCATATATTTCTACCGGATTATCATCATATTATATCGTCTATTCGTGCATAGTTGACATTTTATGAAATTATTCAAAAAGGATGTAAGATATTTTAATCATAAATGTATATTTAATGAAACAATGAATGACTGAGAACGATTGGAGAATGATCTTATCATATCATATCAATCTTATCATTTCCTTAAAATCTTTTCTTTTTTTTATAAACTTTTTTTTGTATATAAAACAAAAAGCGAATAAAAATGAACTATCATTCAATTTTACAAACTTTTTCATTAACAATTGTAATAATATTAATAGATTCGTACAATTTTAATAATTATAATAAATTCATTTGAAATTTATTATAATTTATTCGCTTTTGATTTTATGTACAAAAAAAATTCATTTAAATTCATTTAAAATTTAACAATTTTTACATAAATTTCATTACTGCAAAGATATTTTCAAATCTAAATATAAGTAAAACTAAAAGTTAAATTTAAAAATTTTTAATAAAAAAAAAAAACATTTTAATTTAAACTTTCATTTCCTCCTTCATTCTTCTATTTAATTCTTTTTTTAAATAAAAAAAAAAAATAGTACCAAAGATAAACATTCTTCATCATATTTCACTCTCTATCAATGCAAATCTATCGTTGACATTTTGCTAACATTACTTTAGTCATTTCACAAACGAAAGTATTTACTTTGATAAGAAAATTACATCATATAACATTTGCTTTTTTTAATATTAAATAATTTTAGTAAATAAGTAAGTAAGTAATGAATTTCAGGAATTCTATATGAGTACCATAGTTGTTCCAGAAATTTTTCAAAATTGTTCATCTGAATATCGTATCAAAGATATTAAATATATTCAATGTCATATACCTATGAATGTAAATCCATGTAAATTATTAAAGGTTAGCTATTTTTTTTTTTTATAATCTTTAAAATAATTAATATAAAAAAAAACTTTTTTTTGAAATAGAATTATTTACCATTTTTATTTTTTTATTTTCTTCTAAAAAGTTTATTCTGTTTTTAAATTGTTTCTTTTTTCTTTCAAGACATTTCTTCGAATTATCTCTGATATATTTTAATGTTTTATTAGTTTTAACAAATTAATAATTTCAAATAATAAGTAAATTTATTTTAGTCTTCAGGATTTCAGTTCATAAATTTATTTTAGTCTTCAGGATTTCAGTTCATAAATTTATTTTAGTCTTCAGGATTTCAGTTCATAAATTTATTTTAGTCTTCAGGATTTCAGTTCATAAATTTATTTTAGTCTTCAGGATTTCAGTTCATAAATTTATTTTAGTCTTCAGGATTTCAGTTTTTCAGTTCATAATACAATTATTTCCTGTTTCTTTTCAGGAATTACATGAAGCCAAAGATATTCGAAAGTATC